CTATTAGTTTCTCAAGGAGGGCTCTACTCCATGAAGTCAATTAGGTCACCTTCAGCGCCGTCTGTGTGTCAGAGGGCTTGACTGATTATCATGCCGGGTTTCGAGGTAGAGGCCCACATTATATTTCAACGTCATCGAAGCGTCAGTTACATTAAAATTCATGTGAACAGCGTCATTGTTAAGCAACACTTGTGCCACAATCAATCTATAACAAGCTTACTGTAATAATAATGAGCGGCTTTACGTAGACGATTGATGTATATCTGAAAATGTTAATATCGTCAATATTTTGGGGAAACAACATTCTACCACACTGTCAGCAGCTAGATTATATGGCATCGAATGGTACGATGATAGATGAAGGATGAATTTTCAAAGGTGTGAAAAGTAACGGTCATGGCGTAATCGAGGTATTAAGCCGGAATCTGTCTAAATGGATTGGATAAAACCACGAGAAATCTGTCAGAATAACAGAAGTTCCGATTGAGATTCGAAAAAAGTACCTTCTGAAAACGAGTCTAGTGAGTTAACGCTTTGTCAACCCGCCTGGTACTATTAATAAAATTACAAAACTGTTTATTTTGGTACTGGAAAAACTGAAGAGAAGTAATCTGAGTAGAGAGGATTCAAATTGTTGAAAAACTATTGCTGTAACATCGCTTCTGTCTCACCCTCCGGACCTACGTTATGTTTCGTAGAGAGGTCTGACAATCTCTCTCGTCGGCAGAATGCTTTATCTCCGAAACTACTGAACGCTTATCAGTGACACTTGGTAGAGATCAGCGTTTCTCAAAATGTTGTACCGGAAGAGTTCGCCAGGCGTACTGTAATTCCACATGTACTTCTCAGCATTCGCAATGACAACTGTTATATGTGGTCATTATTTGAATAACACGGAAGACATGAAAGAGATAATTGCTCAGAATTAATTTGTGCATTTCCGAAGTTGTTTTTCCCCGCGGGATCCATATATTTATTTTAACTGTTTCAGGGGGTACAAAGCACAAAACTCTTGAGAACATTTGGTACTGATGGTCTACGTGAAATAGTTTTAACCCTTTGAAGCGTAAAGAGAGAGAGAGACAGTGGGAATTGTCTGCTGTCTAGCTGCAATTGTACACTACAATTGTCGTGAGGCATTCATGCTGAGTCTAATATGATTAGCTTCTCCTGGTTTTTGCCAGTCAGAAGTTGGGAATAAGGTCATTTATAAATCTGCATCATTGTGATACCTTCTTGCGACATAAGCTTCTTTTAGCCCGAAATATAAAAATTCTCCTTTCTTTTAGTTTCGTTTATTTATTTGTCTGTTTCTCCTCTATCTGTTTTCTCCGATGTTAATTTTCTTCAAAATTCGAAAGCTCTTCCTTGTCTAGTTGTGTACTCCAAGCCTTATCTCCAACATCGATGCAAAAATATATCTCATGGTCTCTTATGATCTTCACAGCCTAATTTTGAAGCATGAAATTCATGTGAATAACATTAAATATTCATTTCCTGCTTCGAAATGTTCTACGTCTCCAGTACGTGTGGAATACGCGCAGAGAATCACGTAACACCAAAAAATGCACTCTCCGGGAATGTTTTGATCTTAAAGTAGGTGGTACGTTTAGTAACAACACTGCTTCATCCGTTATAAATCTTCGTCGTGTGCGTCTAATGTACCTTTATGTTTACATGGAACTCGAATCAAATTTATGTATTTCCTCAGAAAAGTCTTATACAAAGTTTGCTTCTTTATTTAAAATATAAATTTCATAGGATGTAGGTTTATTATGACTTTCAATATAATTTATATTTTAATAATGCAAATAAATTAATATGTGGACTTATGGACTATGTCTTGACTTCTGCTAGTTTCTTGCTTAGCTTACGTTTTGTGATGTAGGAGATATTTTAACGAAACTTCAGGCTTTCACCAAGGTACACGACGTTACAACCCAGACAACCATAATTTTCAAATATTTTACTCAGCTACGCCTGATAAATTTTTGTCAACCAGATTTTTATATTGTTTTCATGGCGAATTTCCGGTGGTTATTTTTGCCACAAGAGTTCAGCATAAAACGGATATCCAAAGACGGAAATTGAACCCATTTTCCAGGCGTTGTGATATTTATGTATAACACGAGGACGAAGAAACAAGACTGACTGTATACCTTTAAAGCTTTGTTCATTTTCGCTTTTTAGCAGTTTATAAATAATGTGAATTTTGTAAGTATTAATGCTTTAACTTTTCCTTTGCAAATTATCCCTTGGGTCACCGTGGGCGAACATAACCTATCTACTACCACTATAAATGTGTTAGGATGGCGAATGAATGACGTTCAGTGGAAAAGCATAACACGTTCCCGCCACTGTTCGTATTGCTATGATCATGTACGAGTGTTATAGGGTGCAATTACAAAGAGTCAGATTATTTGCCCTTCACACGAAATTTTTATATCCATCCTAACCATTAACATTACTTCACTTCTTTACACTGCGAAAATTATCCCTCCATATGTGAGTCGTGTTTTGGTACCGTGTAGAATGAGAATTTAAACCGTAAAAACCCGATCATTTAGAAGTGAAATGTTCCCTGGTCCGGAAAGAAAGTGAAGGTGAAAATGAAAACCGCATTCACATAACTGAAAATTGTTTCTTTCATGGTAATTGTGATAGAAAGTGTGTTGCTATGTGCGAAAAGTGAAACGTTTTCAAGTATTAGTTTAAAATCAGAATCTACAGGGAATGGAGTCTATAATCATATCTTGCATTATTGTATCTGAATTTCACGCGGTAAGTTAGAATTATTAACGTATATATAGGCAATTTTGATTGTTTAAGCTTGCTTGTTTAGCCCTGCTTTTGGTTCATACTGCTATCCTTTCAGTAGCTCAGCCTACATAGCGTTGAATGATAGAACGATTATGCAGTGACGAATTAGAAAGGATATGGAAGGAGGTCATTGTGGCCTAATTTATGGTAACATTCCGGAATTTGCCTGGAGGGGGGGTACTGAGTAATAATATGAAAACCTCAGGACAGCCAGTGTCTGGACACGGAAATTCTGTTCTCTGAAAAATAATCAAATGTTAGAAATTTTCAGAATGTATGAAAAGTTGTATGGGTGCGGTAGGATAACACACAAGTATGTCCAGGATTTATGCAAGTCATCTACCAATGTTAGAACCCACGACGGCACGTTGGATTTGGCATGTAGCTCGGACGATGGAAAAAGAAAGGCACACAGAAGGCTGAATGGGAATATCTTGCGATTTAGAGAAGGGACAAATTTAAACTAGATCGATATACAATTTTGAGGTTATTAAGTAGATTTGACTGATTCATGATGGTGACGCGGTATGTTCTGATATCGGATATGTTGACACTTTATGCCGGCCATTTCACTTGTGTTTTTATGTTAAAGAAACAGACTTCGACTTCGAAATGCATTAATCATTATGAGTAGAGATTTCCCTCAATTCTAGATATATTTCTTCTATTCTGTTTTAAGTTTCATACATCATATGATTAAACTTTATTAAAAATCGTTAGGAATGAATTCTTGTGGATGCAACCATGTAATTAGGACATTCCTAAAACCTTACATTCCATTTTAAGTATCATCAAATAGAGTAGATAAATATAATGTAGATTTCCGAAGACAAAGCGCCATGAAATCCTAAGAATATAAGATATTTCGGAAATATCTGCTGCCATAAAAATCATGAATTACTATGAAATATACTCAGGTCGGACAAGGAATTCGAGAACACTTTTAAGAGTTTGGTGGGGGAACTTTCTGGGCAACGACTATTTGGAACACCGACAATGCGATGGAGAATAATACTAAAATAGATCTCACAGAAATATCTTATATGCCAAATTGATTTACACTAGTTTAAGATAGTGTTCAGGATTTGAATTTAATTTAAGCAGTAGTAAAATTTAATGTTTAATTAGATAAATAATTTACTTAGTAAACTGAATATTTAGTTACTTGCGAAGTAAAAATATTATTAAATCAACTGGTCAGTTGATTGAAATAGCCTTTATCATAATTATATTATAATTATGTGTAGGAGGCACAATAGCTCAGTCAGTCTAGTTTCTAGTGGACTACATGGCTTCTGTTCCAGGCACGCGCAGAGATTTTATCTTGGCCATCACGTCCACCTACCCTCCTGTCGAATGAGTACAGAGGGCTCTATCTGGGTAAAAGAGTTGGAGCGTGAAGCTGACTACCTAATTGTCGAATTTAACGATGCATGGATCTATACCATGTTGCAATGCCTATTTAGCAACAAGGACAATTATATTTTTACTCAAGTTTCCAAAAGATTTCCGTAACTCTGTATTACATTCCCTTACTACTTTATAAGGGATTGTTAAGAACATACAGAAACGTAATGAATATAGGCCTATATGCTTGCATCATTTTTTGTAGACCTTGGCTGGAGATGTTCGTGTTCTCTTTGGAAGCAGTGACAGCAGAATCTGTAACCGATGCCCCTGGAAAAATACCAGCAAGTAGCATCGTCTGCCCACAGACATGATCGTGAGGAACTCCTGTATAATGGCAAGATTTCGAAAGCGTAACGGACATGTTTATTCAAGCTACCTGTTTTCTTAATAGGTAACCAGCCATCGGAGATTGAAGTACAAGCTTAAAGCAACATTATTTAAGTCACGCTCGGATAGTCAGCTAGTTGTGCCAGGCTGTGAGGATTCAACTATCTCTTTTATCCAGTTAAAATACCTACAGAAGATCTATCTCGTGCTACGGACAAGTACATCGAAAGTGAAATGGCAGTTAGGGTGGGGAAAGGTCTGTGGGAAAAGAAAATTTGAGAGACTGTTTCCCCATTATTGTTAGCGGCACATGGACAGAAGCCAGACTAAAAAAATATGTATAAATACAGGTAAAATTTGCCATTGCCGTTAGTTCTGTTGTTGCTACATTGACATCAACTTGTGGAATAAAGTGGTCTCGGTCTAAATTGAATTGATCTGACATGGTGTCAACCACGTCGTGGAGATTATGGCGCCTCCACGTCTTTCTGGGCACTTTTTGTCTACTCCAGGCTCTCTGCATGTGCCGGGAGCTTGGACGCCTCGAACTTCTTCCTGGAGAAACCTTAGAAGATACAGACCTAGAAGCTGAAGCTTCTGAATTCTTAGTCGTCAGAAAAGGAGACAGCGATGTAGCGGATCTAGAAACTGCGGCGTCACACCATCATGACCATCACCATGAGAAGGGAGGTGGCCACAAGCACCACTCTGACCACCACCACCACCACGGTCACAAGGGAGACAAGGGCCACAAACATCATCACCACCACGAAAAGGAGGACCACGGTAAACACGGCAAGGAACATCACAGTGGACACTACAGCGAACACGGTGGCCATAAGAAGAAACATCATGACGAGGCTGGCCACCATGGCGAACACCATAAGGGAGAAAAGGGCCATAAGGGGGCGAAGTACGGAGAGAAGGGTGGCCACAAGAAGGGACACAAGACACATGGCTACCATAACAAATTCCACAAGGACGAATACCACAAAGAACACAAGTTCTACGACGACTACCACAAGGGAGGCCACCACCACAAACACGGCGACTTCCACGCTCATCATGATAAGAAGGAAGGTGGCCACAAGAAGGGTGGACATCACAAGTCTGGCCACCATGATGATCATTACGGAAAGAAGGGTCACCACGACAAGGGTCATTACGAAGATGAACATAAGGGCCACAAGGGTCACCACGGTCACGAAGAACATCACGGACACCATGAGGACTACGGCAAGAAGGGTGGTCACCATGATGGAAAGCACTGGGGATACCACAAAGGTCACGGACACTAAGTTCATCAACTGTCACCTGGTAGCAATAGCAATGTTCTTCATGTCAACTGTTTATTCTCGGAAAGACGTAACGTAAGACGCAGGTTACTTCTTGTTTGTCAGTAGTGGTCACTAGAAACACAAAAGAGAAGTCAATTCATCTATAAAAGTGCATGTAACTTGTTGTAACTTTTTTCTGTGACATTCACTGTATATGATAACGAGGCGGAAAAGTCGAGACAAAACCAAACAGCAACTATCACAATCCTTAATGTCGCCTATCAAGTATACTTGGTTCAAAACAGAATTCTATATGACATAAACGTGTATACATTACAGTCACTGCAAATGACAAAGAGAAGTAAAGCACAGACAAACCCGTACAGCGACAACCGCAGTGATTATGTCGCAGATCTTTCTCGATACTAAAATGTGAACGTACAAGACAGAAATTTATATGTGTATATATCATAATTTTCGCGACGTTCATATAGAACTTGTTACTGTATACAAAACCAGACTACGTTCGAACACTGATGTATTATGTATGTGATGACAAAACAATACCGGACAGTAACTTGCTAGCATCTTTCTACCATTAGTAGTCAATAAGTTACAGAGATGGTATTAACATTTAATTTTGTAAACATGATTAGTTTTAGTTGTTATTCTTTTGTTATTTACATTTTAACATGAAAATGTCTTTTGTTACATGATATCGGTTGCGTTATTCATTATGGACATGATACTTCAATACTAAAAATTATGTTCCTGCGCAATTAATCAGTGTCATTAAAGGAACGAAAATAAAATCATATATTTTATTTTACTTTATTTATTTCGTTATTTATTAAACCTAAATTATTACAAATAAATAAAATTATTCCTCTCCTGACTACGGAAAGAATAATTTAAACATGAGCGGAAGAGTGCAAATTATTCTGAACGTTCCCGTAATGGTTCCCCAATGCCATCCTTCCCCTACACGCATCCTTCTTCAAAACTGCAATCAATAAAGATGTAATTTATTGTACCTATTCTTTTCGACCCCTTATAAAATANCCCCCATACGCTTTCATGGAGTAGTGCTCAATTAGTCCAACGCAGGGATAATTTTACCTTTATATTATTATTATTATTATTATTATTATTATTATTATTAATTTTAAATGTTC